GCCCTAAATTGAAAAAAGAAAAAGAAGAAAAAAGAAGAGAAAATAAGGTGGGTTCAAGATGAAAACCCGCAAAGGGCGTCTTGCAACTAAGGATGGGTCCAAGTTGAAAACCCGGAAAGGGCGATTTGGATATCAACGGTGGAAACATCTCGGCACATGAATCTTCTACAAACTCAACAAATCGGAGAAATGTTGCACCCTCCCAAAACGTTGTCGCATTTTCAAAGATCCTTTGGCAAAGGCTGCATTCAAAGTCACCAAACGGCTTTTCAGCTCAGAAGTGCCCACGTTATCGAGATCTAAGAAATTCATTTACACATCATTGTGTATTCGTCTTCTAGAATGTTTGCCATGTATTATTTGTTCTTCTCCTCCCTTATGAATAAAGACCATCTTTCCTCCAATTCCTTTCGAGCATCTTGAATTAGATTTAAACCCAATGGTTTATTTATTTTTTATGAAAGATAATCGCATATTACTGTACAAAGATTCATTGAAAAGTACAGGTACCCAGAAGCCGATCAAGGCTCATGCACATGATTGAGATGGTTGAGGAGCATCTCCAAAAAAAAAAAAAAACAGCATGTGCACATCAGATTCAAACATTTGAAGGATTCAAGATCAGAGATCAGAACTTCAAGCTTTCAAAATCAAAGAGTCAACAACGACAGGCCACCGGAAATCAAGATTTCTCTCCAGAGCCCAGAATAACATATGTTGCCCATACATTTTAGGCATACCTAAGAGCATGACATCCATACCATCGCATATATGCATATCTTTGCAGGTTTACTCAGAGCCAATTTCAACTTCACAACGAAGGATATTGGACTCCAGACAACGCAAGTTCAACTTCACGACGAAGGGACCGCTGGTTGTCAACAAACATTTCTCAAATTCAGAGCCAATTTCAACTTCACAACGAAGGATATTGGACTCCAGACAACGCAAGTTCAACTTCACGACGAAGGGACCGCTGGTTGTCAACAAACATTTCTCAAATTCAGAGCCAATTTCAACTTCACAACGAAGGATATTGGACTCCAGACAACGCAAGTTCAACTTCACGACGAAGGGACCGCTGGTTGTCAACAAACATTTCTCAAATTCAGAGCCAATTTCAACTTCACAACGAAGGATATTGTACTCCAGACAACGCAAGTTCAACTTCACGACGAAGGGACCGCTGGTTGTCAACAAACATTTCTCAAATTCAGAGCCAATTTCAACTTCACAACGAAGGATATTGGACTCCAGACAACGCAAGTTCAACTTCACGACGAAGGGACCGCTGGTTGTCAACAAACATTTCTCAAATTCAGAGCCAATTTCAACTTCACAACGAAGGATATTGGACTCCAGACAACGCAAGTTCAACTTCACGACGAAGGGACCGCTGGTTGTCACCAAACACTTCTCAAATTCAGAGCCAATTTCAACTTCACAACGAAGGATATTGGACTCCAGACAACGCAAGTTCAAGGGACCGCTGGTTGTCAACAAACATTTCTCAAATTCAGAGCCAATTTCAACTTCACAACGAAGGATATTGGACTCCAGACAACGCAAGTTCAACTTCACGACGAAGGGATCGCTGGTTGTCAACAAACATTTCTCAGTTTCAGAGCCAATTTCAACTTCACAACGAAGGATATTGGACTCCAGACAACACAAGTTCAACTTCACAACGAAGGGACGGCTGGTTGTCAACAAACAATTTTCCAGTTCCAGAACCAATTTCAACTTCACGGCGGAGGATATTGGACTCGGAACAATACTACTCACTTGGATTTCAACTTCACGACGAAGGATATCCAGTTCCCAGACTTAACTTCACAACGAAGGGGCCATACCCAACTTCACAACGAAGTATCTTTGGCTAGAAGACAATCCGTTTCAACTTCATAACGAATGATTCAGACTCAGAATTTTCTAGTTTTGACTCAACCTCACGACGAGGGGGTCATTTCGTATTGACAAATCAGTTTCCGTATCGGATTTCAACTCTTCGACAGAGGATATTCGATATGGCCGAAATTTGTGTCTTTAATCTTTGCTCTATCTTTCGTTACACGATAAGGAGCAAAGAGGGGCAGCTGAAGACACCAAATTTGTCTTTTTGATATATATAATATTTATATTATATATATATTTTATTTTATTACATATATCGTATTTACATATATATTGTTTTGCAGTCTGTCGGGCCCAAATTCAATACCACATATGGCCCGACAAATACAAGAGGATCCAACAGAAGGCCCGGCTGGTGATCATCAGCTTCCATGTTGAACCCTAGCGCCGTATCCCTTGTTTCCAGCCATGCAAAGACCCCATGCCTCACGAGTCTTCACTGGTCACTCCTCTCCCCCGTAATTCCTGGCAACAAACCACCTTCGTGGATATGTGAGACTCCAACCCCGGAACGTACAACGCAAGGATCTCGGCATCAACACCAACAACCAACAAATAGAGTTAGAATAGGACTCTGTAACCACATCTAAAAATAGGATTTTTATTCCTATAAATATATGTAATCAGAACCCATTTGGGGGACGGTTCTTTTTTACGAATAGTGAAGAGAAATACAAGCTTTTTTTTTGCACGCATACACACTGCTTTACACGATTTTTTTTCCTTTTCTTTACACAAAAATACAATATATATACAGAGATTTGAAGGTGGAAAGAAAAGAAAGAGAAAAAGAGAGGAAGCTATACCTTGTTCCCATTTCGGAAGCCCGACGGTCACCAGAGTTCCAAACTTTCGAAAGGTAAAAAATTAGATCTAGGTGTTAGGGGTCGATTTTTAGCCGAAATAAGTTGGGAATCGGGTTAAGGGTGAGAAAAGGAAATTTTTGGGACCGTTTTGGTCCCTACGACCGCCGTGCGCCACCGCACCGGACGCCGTGGTTATCGCCGTTGACGGGCGGCGTTCCCTTCCCCGGTGAGGGAAGGTTGAGAGAGTTTTAACTCTCTCTTTCTTTCTGGTTTTGGAGAAGAGAAGGAAATGAGTTAAAAAAATGTTGGCTTATTTAGTAAGCCCGTATTGATCTGCGCATTTTTAAGATTAAAAGGGTAAACTGTGTTTTAGTCCCCCTCATTTTCATTATATTTGTTTTGCCCTTATTTCTGATTTTTTTTTTCTTTCACATTAATTTACTTCGAAATCTGGCCTCCAATTTTCGTTTCGTTCAATTTAATCCTCGGCAGTTTAATTCCTTTATTTATTTCTTTTAATTTTCTTATATTTATATTTATGTTTTACGGTATATACATTTTTTTTAATATATATATATATATATTATCTATTTATTATTTATGTTCCCTCTTTTCTGATTTTTTTTTCATGTATTTATTACTACCATTTTTTTAATATTTCGTTTTATTATCTATATATACTTTTCTCCGTTATTTTATATATATACATTATACTTAGTACTTCATCATCTTATGTATATTATATTTTTTACGTATATTACCTCTTTTATATCATTATTCGTATATATATATATATATTATTTACTATTATTTCTTGTACTTTATTTATTTCGTTTTTCCTGTCTATTTTTCTTTCATTTTCATTTTATGTATTTTATTTATTTATTTGTTTTTTACATTTGCTTCATTGTCATTTTGTTTATTTTATACACTGTTTATCTTTATTTTATTGCTTCCTTACCCTTTTTATTTTTCTTGATTTCATTTGTTTTTATTACATTTTTTTATCTAATTTCTCGGCTATTTAAGGCATATTTTCAATCAATCAAAGGTAAGCAATTTGAATCGGGTAACTTAAATTTTAATTTTAATTTTTAATTTTCGCAATTAAGACAACCAGAAAATTAATTGGTACCGACAGGATGGTTCAAGGGTGCTAATCCTTCCTTGACCGTAACCGACTCCCGAACCCGACACGTTTCTGATAAGACGCAGATCAGGTAAGAAATAGGATATCCGATCAACCCATTTATTTTTTTAATGATCGGTGGCGACTCCAATCCGCATTCTTCAAGTCGAAGCCCAATTTCACTTTTAACCGAAAGACGGTCACGACACATTTGTACGTGGTTTTTAAACTTTGGTTTCAATCTAATGGTATTCGGTGCCATACTACGATGCTTTCATTGAAAGAAAAGAATTTCACTAAAAAGTACGTGGTGAGTATATTTTATGTTGTCCAAATCTAAAAACAAATGCAAAATACGAGAATATTTAGGAAACTATTACATAATTTTATAAGCTTATATTGATGTACCATTGCATTGTTTGAAAAGCATTCCTTGTGTTTGTTGTTTTGACCCAGAGAGTTTGCTGCAAAAAGAAAAAAACATATATCAGTTTGCAAGCGCTAGCAATGAAGGATTGGGCGCCCATTGTTATAGGGCTGTTGCTCTTCATACTCCTCTCTCCTGGCCTCCTCTTCCAGCTTCCGGGGAACAATCGGACTTTTGAATACGGTAACTTCCAGACAAATGTCAAAGCCATTGTCATCCACACTCTCCTCTTCTTTGTGCTCTTCACTATCCTCATTTTGGCCGTCGGCATCCGCATCTACGCCGGCTAAACTTTTTCTTCTTCTTTTAAATTGTTTTTAATTTTGATTTATTATTTTTTAGTTTTTTTTTTTATTTCTAGACAGTTTGTTTGTGTTTCGATTTATTAGTTCGAGCGCGTCTACCTTCAACTTGTGAACTTAAAGAAATCCAAACAATCATAGCTATAATGATAAATTAATCCTTCATTTGATTGGATTCGCTAAAATTTCAAATGATCCACAAAATAAGTCAATTCATTTGGTTATCTCAAAAAGAAATTTCACGTAATTCGATTTCAGTGAATTGAATACTCGTCTCTATTCCCAAGATAATCCCAGCCGTTGGAAAATTAGAAAAAACAAACAGCTTCACATGTATTGCTCGTGCGTCGTGTCAAGTCATCACGACAATCGAGAAGCATCCATAATGTATGCAAAAAGTTAAAACCCTCTTAATTTCGTCTTCCTCCTCAGTCCCCCGACTCCGTTACTCTCTCGTTCTCTTCATCCCTTTCACTTTTTTTCAAAGCTTTTATTCTATCCGGCAAGATGGCAGATTGGGGTCCTGTGTTAGTAGCGACGGTGCTGTTCGTTCTGCTTTGTCCTGGACTGCTGTTTCAAATACCCGGGCGGAACAAGGTTGTGGAGTTCGGGAACATGCACACCAGTGGAGCTTCGATTGTTGTACATGCTATTATCTACTTTGGTCTCATTACTATATTTTGTATCGCCATCGGAGTTCATATCAATGCTTCTCAATGATGTTTGATTTTGTAACACTTTGTTGTTTCTGTTTCAATGGGATCTTTTCATTTATGTTCTTTTTGATCTGCTAAAATGGTTCTAATAGATTATATGAAACCATGTGGATCGAATCAAAACTGCAATGTTCTTTCTTTCCAGGCAATTTAGGATCTCAATTTTACAATTGCAAACCCCAAACGATCCATCATCTTCTTCTAAAACTCCCCCCCCCCCAAATATCTTACGATTAAGCAAATCAATTAAATTTCTCTAAAAAATCAATTAAAATAATTTTTGCGGTTAAATAAAATAATAATGTAATTGATGTAATACCAATTTTAATTTTTAAAATTTATAATAATATTTTAATTTAAAATTATTTATTTTTTATATTTAAACATTATTTTAGCCTTTGCTTTTTTTGTTTTCTTCTTCTCTTATAGATGATTTGTTATTTTATTCCTATAATAATAGTTTAATTGTATTTTATTACGGGTTATAGTTTAATTACTATTTTGATTCGTTTGGTTTGACAATGTTATAAAAAAAAACACTAAAATTGGAGAATTTTTAAATATAAATAGTTAAATATATTGAATTGTTTCAAGTTATGAAAAAATTGATAAAATATTTACATTTTGAAACTAAAATTATTGTTATATTATGTTACATTAGATATCTATTTTAATTTTATCAACAGAGTGGCACGTTTGTAGTAAATATTTTATTTGAATGATATATCATCAAACACATAATTAGAGATGAATATTTGAAACGAACTTGATGAAATTCGACTCGACCTTATATGATCATACATTTTTCTTTTGAAAAAACGAGTTTGATTCGATCAAGTTTTTTGAAGGATAAGATTTGGTTCAAGTTTATGGTAAAAAAAATTGACCTAGTCCAACTAAAAATAATACTATAATTGACCTTTATATATTTAAAGATAATTGTTATAATATCTCTCTATTTTTTTAATTATGTTCGTATTTTACCTAATAGAAATGACATATGTATGATTGAGTATAGATTTTTACTCAAAAGTTAAGTCAAGTCTCAAATCAGATGGAATTTCCTTAAATTTGGATCAAATCAGATGATAAATAGAGTGTTATACTCAGATTGAATTCGGATGAACTAAAAACTCAATCTAACCTAACTTATAATCATTCATACTCATAATTAAGTAATCTTAAGCGTAATTTACCCTTTAAAAATAAGTTTAAAGCGTAATTTATCCTTTAAAAATAAGTTTAACTTTTTAAAACTATATTACTAAAAATAATTAAGTATGAATTATAGTACGGAAAAATTTTAACCCCTTAGAAAATAGATCAACTTGGATTGGGCTTATGGGTTAACAGTTAAAAGTTATAGTTTGAGCCCCCTACTTGATTGGGCTTAGCCTTAAGAAAGAAGTTTCAATAAGTCCATAAATTATGTTCTTTTTATTTTAAGTTCTTAAATTATATTTTAATCAAAATAAGTAATTAATTTTATATGACATATCAATATCTTATTAATCAAAAGATATATTTTAAATGAAAAAATAACAGGATTTATAATGGTTACTTATGGTAGTTTAAATATTTATTTTGATCAAAAATAATTTAGAGACTTAAAATAAATGAAGATAATTTATGATTTTTTATTTTCTTTTACTTTAAGCCATATAATTTGATTTTCTTCTCCCACGAGGGACTTTGTCTTGAGCAGGAAAGAACTTGCATTTACTTGAACCATGATAGTTTGGTTTCATGGGTCTGATCTAATTTAATTTAGAATATAGTTAATTTAATTTATTTAATGATTTATAGGGTTATGCTGGTCGATGATGGTCGGTCGGACAACAATCGCGATTCTGTTTAGACTTGTATATGTGATACTTGAATTCTAATTACCGTTTTATTTTAGAATCAGGCTCGTTGTTTTTTTTATTAATATGGAATAAATATAAAGTAGCAATTGTTTTAAAATAATTTTCAATCATCTAATATTAAATGTTTATATTTTTTGCATTCACGATGATCAAATCTGAGATATCAAAGAATAACAACAATTCATATACTACGAAAATCACTTGATTCATGCAAAATTGTAACACCCTCATACCGATGCGGGTGACCCGATCCGAGGTGTCACATTAGGACCACCGGAGCAACTCACAATAAAAATCTAGAAAAATTAAAAAATTTCTGTTAAAACGTGTAAAACCATAAAACAATTTATATGTAAAATACAAGTTCATACTCAGTATAAAAATCAAATGTGACATACATGCCCCTAATTACACTTGTACCGTACTCTTCAACCCAAGCCAATGGAACTCCCATTACAGATGTCGATAGTTGCACCAGATCAATTCTTTTAACCTGAAAAAGAAAGTAAAGGAGTAAGCTTTGGGAAACTCAGTAATACAAAACTACTAAGTGATGCTAAAGGACATGCAGATAAATGGAAAAACATAAATTTTTCCTTATTGATTTAGACGTCTATAGGCTTTTGGGATGAGCTGAGGTTCCATTGATATTTATTCGAGTAAAAGACATGAAAATTTCAGTTCATAGGAAACATTCAAAGGACCAAGTTCATGAGATCAGAATAGAATGTCGAGTGTGTTCCAACAAAACATAGTAACATATATAGATTCTTTAAAAATATTAGTAGTTTAAAACATATTTTAAAACTACAGTAATGCCCTCCAACCAAACACCGTTGTGCAGTTCCCCATAACTACATCCATAAGAACTTACCCTAAGCACACATCAAAGGAGCCACCCTAAGGGAGTACCTTGGGGTATGGCCTACCCAAGGGTCTCCTTAGGTCCATAAGTAATTATCAAATTGATCAGAGTTGAACCTCCATACTCCAAAATCCTACCCATACAATATCCAATATAAATCAGATTTAACAATAAACTGTAATATCAGGATCGTGATCCAGTAAAATCTCGTAAGAGTGATAATAAAATAAACCACATAAATGTCCTCCACCCGTACACCATTGTAGTCCAATGATTTACCCAAGGGAGTGTCTTGGGGCATGAGATCCTACCCAAGATAGTTTCTCGGGGCCTCGGAGCCTACCCAAGGGTCATCTTAAGTCCGTAAGGAATTACCATCTTGATCTGAACTGAATCTCCATACTCCAGCCTACCCAAATAATGTCCCAATAAAACAATTCAAGTAGTAACCAGTGGATCCCATGATCCATAAATCAGGAATGATTATATTTTCAATGAAAACGGTAATCATATAACACATACAATGTAGCCATGGTTCATAAGCCAGTAAATCAGTAAATCAGTAATTTCAGTGAAACATATTTCAAAACGGATAAAACAATCATGTAGTACATAGAGAACATACTAGAGGATCAAGTTATTTTCCGGAGGTACTTAGCAATTATCAAGTGGGGATCATGAAACTTCTGTAATTTAATAGGATTTCATAATCAAGATTCCTATAAAAAAGGGTTTGACAGCTAACAGAGTCATCAGTCATTCATGAAGTGATTTATCAAGATCATATAGTATTCAGATATTTTTCGAAAGCACTAAGCAATCAGGAATGTACTCAGAATCTTTTGCACCAGAGTTACTTGAGATGTCAGGTATGACAAAAGTGATTCCATTATTCAGGAAATCAGGGGCATTTTGGACATTTGGTTCTTAGAGAATTCTTAGTAATTTGATCTAATAAGGGTGAGACAATGATTCATGGTATTTAATATTCGTGTCGATTTATCAGGATATCAAGTTAAGTCAAATTGAACAAATCCCAACACTGTGATATCTGTCAACTGGTCAAATCGATGCACTTCAAGGGTATTCACACTTTAATATTGGCAACTCTTGTCGAACTGATCATCATCAGAATCATCGTTGAATGGATCTTAGGGAGACAAACATGTATTCCATTATTATTTATTTCATTTCTGTATTGCAGCGATATCAAGAAATGTCGGCGTGATTGATTCTCGGTTCAAAACCCTTATAGAAGATACAACATATAAGTTCATCAAGATTTCCTGACTTATCTAAGTCATTCACTTAATTATAGGACTTTGAGGGTACTTGTGTCATTTGGTAGTTAAGTTTATCCCGATCACTTCGGATTTTCTGGAGTAATTCGACCGTTTCCTCAATTCATATACATATAATACTTCAATTCAGTTCATATTGGTCATATAATTTAGTCATTTCAAGAAATTCATACGTGTAAAGTGCCTTCGATAATTTAGTCTTCGAATGTTTGCTTAGTAAATAGAAATTTTAGGTCAGTTGGTATTCGAGGTTGATTTATTCATTTCAAAGCTTGAGGGTATTTAGTTATTCCAGGACTTGGACATACTTTGGGTCATTTTATACTTCATGGGCATTTCAAATAGATTAGGAATTTAATTGGTGATTCTGAGGTTCAAGTGAATCAAAATACGAGTTCTCAGGTCGTCTCCATTGTGATAGCCATCTATGGTCATTTTTACACTTTAAGGGTATTATCGTTATTTCATTTAATTCTGTCAGTGGCATCACTTTCGATAAATTAGGCTTCAAGTGTTTATTCAAGAATCAGAGTTTACAGGCCTTGTTCTTTCTTTGAGATTTAAAACTGATTATAAGATATTTTCCAAATAAATTAGGAGTTAACAGGTGCGTCATTAATTTTATCTGGTCAAAATACAAATTCTCGGGGTAATTCCACTATCAGGGTCAACACATACCATTTTTACAACTTAAGGGTATTTTCGTAATTTTTTATGCATGTATATCCGACATGTAACCTTTAACGAAAAAAAACAAAGTTTAAAGATCTTTAATTCAATTGATTTACTGATTAATCATTGAACTTGAATTTATTTCTTATCTAACTTTTAATTCCTTACGCGAGTTATTCGAGTCTTAAACAATTTACTATCCTCTTATCGTAATCATACCAGTTTACCTCAATCAACAATATCCATAAGATCAATAGAACTCATTCATGCATTTACCAACTATCAATTGTGCTATAAGGCATACAAAAAGTAATACAGTATTATCTCGATTTACGAGCCATATCGATCGACCATTTAAACTTCATTTGATCGCTCTCAAACTTTAATTTCACGTCTCATAATGTCTCATATACATAGCAAACGAATTTACGTCAGAAGCTGAACTTAATCGACAAACCAAATTGAATCTGAAGATAAAGCATTGAAAAACGACTTATCGAGTGCAAATTTGGTAAAACGGAATTTGGATTCGGACTCAACACGTCGAAAAACATAAAATATGTTTTTTAATAAAATTTTGACTTTTTTAAAATCAAAGTCAACGATCAACTATGGTCAAAGTCAATGGGTTGGGTCAAAGTCAACAGGTCGGGTAAAAGTCAATGGGTCGGGTCAAAGTCAACGAGTCAGGTTGACTCGGTTTGGGTCAAACAGACCCAGTTTAGTCTGGGTTGGCCGGATCGGGCCGGTCTAGACCGATTGGACCAGTTCTAGAAGGTTTCCTGAAACGTGTAAGAGCCCCACGTGCACTGTCGGTGCATGGCAGCGCGTGCGACGGTGACAAAGGTCGGGGTGATCGACCAATTATTTCAGGAGCATCTACACATCATTTGCAACAATTTTTTTTAACAAAAAACAGCCATCAACCATACCAAATAACCGAAAATAGAACCGATCTTACCCAACGATGATCGACAGAGTAAACGATGATGATACGTTGACCCACGGGCTAGGTTTTGTTTAGACTTAGATGGGGAGCCCAACGACTATGGCGGTGAGGTCATTGGAGCTCTAGATCGACGCGAAATCAGTTGAAACAAAAATGATAACTTGGTTCTCCCGCGGGTTTTTGAACGTTGATTCACAGCTAACAATGATGAGTTTTAACTATTTGTCGTCGTGGTTTTGCTCGGCGAGGGATGACTATCTATTTGCTTATGGCGGAGCGACCCACAGACAATCGTGATAGACGAAATCGAAGGGTGACCGAAACGAGGTTATGACGAAGCTTCTCAAGATTCTCCACGTCGATTGGCAGTGGTTTCGATGAATAAATAGAGGGATTGTGATTGGGGGACGACACTGATCGCGATGGTGCTGGCGGTGCATGACACCGCTGGCCAGATGGTAGCAGTTCAGGGTAGCGGAGAGAGTTTCCAATTTTGGGGATTTAATTTTTATTCCCCCTTTTGCTCGATTTCAAATTGGGGAAATAAAATTTTGTTCTCTGCTAACAAAAAATGGTTAAATTCAGGGATATGTCCCTGAATTTCCTATAACTTTCTAAAACTACCTATAAATTTAAAAACTTACAATCTGACCCTTAAATTGGGGGTGTGACAAGAATCTTACTCGTTTTAATATGATTTAATTTTTATTCCTTAATTTCTTGGGATTTGTACCTGCAACGTTTTGAATTCATATTAACATTTTACTTTAGGGTAAAATACACAAACGATCATCTGAGTATAAAATATTGTTTTTTCGAGTCTTTGATGATTAAAAGTTACAAATTAGTTCCTTGACTATAGAGAGTCGTTTTGTTGAGTCTTTCGACTATAAATGTTACAAAATGGTCACTCGACTATTCATTATGTTCCAAACTCATCGTTTTTCGTTAAAAAATTAATGACAATATAAGTTGAACGTTAACTTGCTGACTAATATATGATAAAATTTGATCTCATAATCTCAAACAACTATCATATCTCAGTCAGCATGTTAACGTCTAGCTCAAACGACCGTTAATTTTTATTGGAAAAAGACGAGTTTGAAACATAATGAATAGTCGAATGACTATTTTATAACTTTTAGTTGTCGAATGACTCAACAAAGCAATTTCCTATAGTTTAGGGATAATTTTATAATTTTTAATAATTAAGAGACTCAACAAAATATTATCTTATAGTCGAAAACTATTTGTATACTTACCCTTTATTTTATGATCATATAATTTTCTACATTTTCCTCCCTTACATCTTTCCTTAGATTTTAGGGTATATTTTCCAACAATAAACTTCCTCAGATTGGTTGGTATACAGACAAATGACATGAAAGCAAAAAAACCATGAGTGGTTGTACAAGGTTTCGAGCACTAAAATTCATGATGAGGAGCTTCACCAGATTTGTGGCTGAGCTACGTTTTGGGGCCTCCGATCATCTAAAGTTTAAAACAAACCTTGACACCTGTCTTACGAAGTCCCTAAAATTTTGAATCGTCGCCTTCACTGTTCTCCAACTTTTCCTGTCAAAAAGGACATCAACGATACTTCACTATTCAACTTTGATGGAAAAAAAATATACCCTCCAATCCCGATTCCAATTCCACGTTTTTTATCAATCGCTTTTCATAACACGTGTTGGTCTCTCCTTGGGTTCACCAGAATCATTTGGTTGTACCATGGTCCATACGTGTCGAATCACCCATACATTGTTTGTGAAAATGCCTCGCAGGGGACTGTTGTTTCTGCTACTCTCCACACTCCACATTGTTCGACACAGGTTGCATGTTGTATCGGTTCACTGGCACCCAATAGCTCTCTACTGACCATCCCTGTAGGCTGATTGCTGGTTTATATATGCGCTACTCCACCATATTATGTTTGTAAATGTACCCGTTAACAATATTTCACATCAATTGATTATTAACTTTTCTTTGAAGTGTTTATATTCATCCTTGGATTATATCGATCACTTCTAAGTCGGTAATTATATCTCACAGTTACTGTCATGTTCCTTATCTATCTCATATAATGTATATGCTCCATGGTTAAAGCATCAATCTTATCAGATGCACGTAGGCCATTCATTTTATATCTAATATTAGTCAAATTATGATTGGAGTTTCGTTGTGACTATTGCATATTTGAGTGAAATTATAGTACATCATAGCTTTTGGGAATGCTTATGCTCTAGACATTGCATCTTATACATGTTTTTTCTTTTGTTCAATTAAGGTTTTATTTCTTTGATATTATATTAGAATAAGGTTATGTTATTTATTGATTAATACCTTTGAAAAGCTTCCCTGTTCATCTCTCTTAAAAGTAGTACTACTTTAATGTTAATAATAAGGGTGCAAGCAAGCAAGACACAACTAGGATCTAATAAATTTTGAATTTTACTTGATCATTTTCGAACTGAGTTGAAGTTTTATAATTTAAATTTCAGCATCATAATATTCTACATGAATATTTCGCAAGTCTAATAAAGTTTTTTAATATGTTTTAGTTGTTTTTATTTTAATCTAAACTTTAGTTGAGCTTATATAATTGGTTTTGATATGGAGTTCATTTTTTTAAGGTCAATGTTTTCTTGAATTAAGGTCAGGTTTTAAAACTAAAATTTGATTCGATTTTAAATGAAATTTTAATTATCATTTTTAAATCAAGTTAAAAACTTTTTTTTCAACTTGACTTAACTGGGGTATTATTCCATTTCAACTAGATAACTAGGAAGAAAAAGTTAAAAGATAAATACCATTTATGCTTTTTCTTTTTCTTTTTTTTGGTGGTGACGATGGGGCTCATAATGACCCAGTTGTTCAAGGGAATCGAGAAATATTTGGAATTATTATAGGGCATTTGAGTAGTGAGGCCGTGTCACCAGAGTCGTCTCGTTTTTGCCTAACTCGAAAAACAAACACCCACAAAGCCACTGACAACGTACTCTCGACACCTATGCTCTAATTGGATGATGGTAAGCTCGATCTTTTTGCTTGCATGCAATGTGAAAACATATCTTTATCTTTCATAATCAATACCCGTTTCTTTTGTGTTTTCTCTCTCTCCCTCTCTTTTTTTTTCTCATTTCTTTTATAAATATGGCTAAACATTGAAGTGTACGCATCAAATTTTTTTACTTGATTTAGGTGGATACAAAGGAAATGGGGAGAGGAAAGGTTGAATTGAAAAGAATTGAGAACCCAACAAACAGGCAAGTCACCTTCTCAAAGAGAAGAAATGGGCTCCTCAAGAAATCTTTTGAGCTGTCCATACTCTGTGATGCTGAAGTTGCCTTGCTTATCTTCTCTTCTTCAGGAAAGGTTTACCAGTTTGCCAGTCATGAGTAAGTTCAATTCTCCCATTTACTTCTCCGATTTATCGTGATGCTATGAACTGGTATTTAAATCCTTACCACCTCCCCCCCCCCCCAACCCAATGCATTTTCTTATATGTTTATCTTTGATCTGAGTATATTTTAATTTCTGCAGCATGGATAGGACTATTGCAAAGTATAGAAGGGAAGTAGGGCTGCCTGATTCTAGTAATCCTCAATTTAGAACCATGGAGGTATTGTTTGATGATTTCTGGTCAAGCTTTTATTTTTTCCAGATTTTATTATCATAAAGCAATAAGAGCAAATCATGCATTGTGTCTTCTCAAAACTTTATTTCTGTTAAATATGTGTCATTTTTAGCTATATTACCTTAATTTCAGGTGGACATTGAATATGTTTCTGGATAGATATATAGTAGCAAGTACTCTAAAAACATGAAAAGTCCGGACAACGTAGATGGTTTAAGTTGTGAAATTTAAGGCAACTTGTTCTCAAGAACCGACAGCATAAAGTTTGTGTATGGACATTATCAGTAACATAGAAATCTGTGTGCTTTAAGTCTTTCTTTTTTCTCAGTTTTAGAATCGTTAAGGACTTTTCGGGGTTGTATAAATTGTTTGGAGAAAGCTTGAAGATGAAAGCTCATCATACTTGCCAAGGAGCAAAAAAAAAAAAAAAGTGAAAATGACATCCCAGATTATGTTTACTAGTGCTGGTTGTACAGCAGCTTTTGTAATGCTACTGGTTTTCAGTAGCTCCTTTTATTATTAAAACTCTATTTTGACCATATAATTAATGTGTTAAACAGCTTTTAACTTTCTTGATGTTCACAGTTTTGGAGGAGCGAGATTGAAGAGTTAAAGAGATCCATAAACACCTTGGAAGCCAGGCAAAAGTACGTACAACTGTCGTGGCAATACACACTCATATATATATTCCATGTTTTCTAAGTATCAAATGCTTTCGTGTTTTTGCAGGCACTTATCTGGAGAAGACATCTTAGCATTAGGCATGAGAGAGTTGAAACAGCTCGAGCGCCAGTTGAAAGTAGGCGTTGAACGTGTCCGCTCAAGAAAGGTCCGTAGAAAAAAAAAAGGGTTAACGAAGTTATGCCTATATATTTCATCTTAGTTGTGTTCGAATAATTTATCAGATACGAGTATTTGTCTTTTCAATAAAATCTAATTTTATGTATAAATGATCACTATATATAAATACTTTTTAAGAAAATGAAGAATTTCAAGTATTGTAATATATGATATATATATACATGTACATGGACTGACATAATATTTAATTTATATTCGAGCTTGTGAACTAAAATCAGCAATACAAAAAATACAAACTATATAGAAATTTAAAATTTATAACAGACAGTTTTGTTAGGATGGAAACCTAGGTTTTTTTCCTTCAGTGAAATGGAATTAATATGCATTCATACATACACTACATACATACATCGGTTATTAATATGCAGTTTGTGTATTAAACAGAGACGCATTGTTTCGGATCACGCCACCTTGCTGAAGAGACGGGTAAGTGGAGAACACGCGGTACAGAAATGGCATATTGAACAGAAATTCAAACTAATGATATCTTATGTTTCAACGCAGCACAAACAATTGCAAGAGGAGAACAGTCGCCTCCAGAAAAGAGTGAGACTTCCGTTGTACACTTTATATAATGGATTATTATTCATATATATTTGGAGCCGAGATTTTTAGTTTTATAAACAACAGTGCTTTTTAATTAATTTTATAATAAAAAATAAATAATTTTGCCATCTATGAATCTGCTGATAAAATTTTAAAAAAAAATTCTACATAAATATACCAAATAATTATCCATTTTATTAATATGTATTTAGCAATGAAACATTAAGTTTGAAAAGGGAAGTTAATTCTTTTTACTGTGAATTTTGAGGTTAAGTTGAAAGAGTTAGATGACGGAAATACCAGCTCAAGAATTGTGGGTGAAAATTCTTGCAGCGTGCTCCAGCAAAGGTAATAATAATTAACTACCAATAATCAAATAAGTATACTCGATATTTATGTTTAAATATGAGCATCAAATTGTAATATAATCCTTGCAACATAAATTATTATAATTCATGTATCATTTACTAGCCAGACTGAGGCTGCTTTCCGTGCATGAATTAAAGTAATTTTAAAAGCATGAATTGGAATACTGCAGGATCGTCGAAGAAAACCTCTTTAACGAAACAGACCTCCCAATGTGATTTGGATATATAAGTATATATATATATATGCATCTGCAGCCGCCGCCGCCGCCGCCGCTATAGGGTTCCACGCGCTGACAGTGACACGAGCCATTCGGCTATTGTTTGCCCTGGCTTTTTATGAACAACATTTCCGCATCTCAGAGCAAGATATATACAAGAATTATGATTATGTATTTTTAATAAAATATTTTTCATCCACGCATTTTATATATATATATATATGAATTTCTTAAATTTTCTTTGAGTATATCATATTTGATATATTTCTCTTTTAAATTACAAATAAAAGATATAATTCTAATTATAAGTATTATATATGTGAATAAATTATTACTTTTTGAATGGAGCGCTATGTTGATATAACGAATGTATATGTATTCACGGTGGTATAACGTGATTATTTCCTTTACCCCTTCTCAAAATTTCTTTCCTCCATTGCCACTCTTGTTCAGCTTTGGTTTGAAAAAAAAAATTTGTCAACAATTGTAGGCACCGAAAATTAGGTGTAGAAATTGTTGATTTTTTTATATGGGCAAATTACAAACTCTAGTCACTAAAATTTAGGGTATTTACAAATTAGTCCTTAAGCTTCAACTATAAATACCCTAGCCCATTTAGCTTCAAAACCATCCCAAAGCATTATAGCTTTCTTCCAATACAAGAGAAATTTTAGAGAGTTTCTTGAGAGTTGTTTTCTCCTTTTTATCTAGAGAGAATTATTATTGTTTTCTCCTTGATAGATCGAGAGAGGTTGTAATTCCTATTTTCTCATAGTAAAATTCTTCTACCGTTGCCCGTGGTTTTTACCCTATTTTATTTAGGAGTTTTCCACGTAAATTTTGTGTCTTTTTTTATCTTCATTTTTATTTTCTCAAATTATCAGTTGCGATTTTGCTCTATCCGATAGCCGTCTTCAGCAACAATTGGTATCAGAGCTAGATTAGAGTGTGTAATATCTGCTTATTGTCTTTGTGGTTGCCACCAAAAGGTGGATCCTCCAACATAAGAAAAAGAAGTTATTACCCATTCTTTGAAGGTTCCAGAGAACTATTCACGATAGTGAAATAGTGGGAGCTATCCGTAAACGAAGCAATGCAACGAAATTTGATATTGAAAAGTTCAATGGGAGAAATTTCTCATTGTGGAAATGAAATGAAGGCCATCCTGAGGAAAGACGGTTGTCTAGCAGCTATCAGCGAAGGCCAGTAGATTTCACAGACGACAAAATGGATCGAAATTGACGGAAATGCTATGGCAAACTTTCATCTAGCATTAGCAGATGAAGTATTGTCAAGTATCGAGGAGAAGAAGACAACTAAGGAGATATGGGATCATCTCACCAAACTGTACGATGCCACATCGTTGCACAATAAATTTCCTTAAGAGAAATTGTACACTCTCCGTTTCCAGAGTCTACTTCAGTGACGGCACTTAAATACACTGAACACTTTATTTTCTCAGCTTACATCCTTAAGCTGTAAAATAGGAGAACAAGACGTGTGAACTACTTCAAAGTCTACCGGATTTATATGATCAACTCATCATCAACTTGACAAACAATAATGTCACCAGTCTAGTCTTCGATGACGTTGCAGCTGCTCTACAAGAAGAAATCGGTGCAAGAACAAGGAAGACAGACAAGTAAATCTGCAACAAGCAGAAGCGTTGACAACCATGAGAGGGAGATCAACAGAACGTGGCCAAAGCAGCAGTCACAAACATGGTAGATTGAAGTCGAGAAGCAAGAAGAATTTAAAGTGTTACAACTGTGGAAAGAATGGTCACTTGAAGAAGGACTGTTGGAGTCTAAATAAAAACTCCAATCCAGAAGGCAATACCGCAACACTTCAGATGATGGAGATGCTCTATGTTGTGAAGCGTCAACCCCGTGGAAGTAGAAAAAGATATGCATATGGCTCATTGATTCGGGAGCAACATATCACATGACCTCAAGAAGAGAATTGTTCCATCATTATGAACCAGTCTCAGGAGGATCTGTGTATAGTTGCAATGATCATGCCTTAGAAATCATTGGCGTGGGAACCATCAAATTGAAGATGTATGATGGAACAATTAAAGTTGTTCGAGATGTGCGGCACGTGAAAGGCTGAAGAAAAATTTATTATCCTACGGATTGTTGGATAATAATGCAAGCAAGATTGAAACACAAAAGGAATCATGAAGGTGTTCCGTGGAGCGCTTGTGGTGCTGAAAGGCGAAAAGATAGCTGCAAACTTGTACATGCTGAAGAGAGAGACTTTGGTAGAAGCATAAGCCTCTGTTGCCTCATGTAGTTCAGATTCGACAATGCTATGGCATCAGAACTTGGACCATGTCAGAATAAGGAATGAAAGTCCTTGTGGAGCAAAAGCTACTTCCAGGCTTAACAAAGGTATCACTTCCTTTGTGAGCATTGCATAACAAGTAAGCAGCACCGGTGAAATTCAACACATCAAATTCTAGAGGGAAAAGTGTTCTAGAATTGGTTCACTCTGACGTATGACAAGCACCAGTAACGTCCCTAGGTGGAGCAAAATACTTTGTCTCATTTATTGATGACTACTCCAGGAGATGTTGGGTGCACCCTATTAAGAAGTCAGAGTGTTTTCAACTTTCAAAAACTTCAAAGTGCGGGTGGAACTTGATTATGGAAATAAGATCAAGTGTTTCAGAACAGATAATGGAGGAGAATACACAAGCGAAGAATTTGATGACTTTTGCAAGAAAGAAAGCATCAAAAGACAGTTCACAGTGGCGAATACTCCTCAACAAAATGGAGTGGCAGAGCGGATGAACAGAACCTTGTTAGAAAGAACAAGAGCAATGTTGAGGGACGCATGCCTAGAAAAATCATTTTGGGCAGAAGCAGTCAATACCGCCTGTTATTTTGGTGAATCGAGCTCCACAACTGCTAGGGAAGCTGATGGGTAAAGGATATCAAACTTGTGGGATCCACACCAAGCAAAGTGATCATCAACAGAGATGTTATCTTTGTAGAGGATAAACTACAAAGAAAAGAAGACGATGATAGCGCTGAAAAGTCAGAGACTACTCAGATACATGTGGCAAAAGAGTTTGAAGAAGGAGATTCTTCTGAAGCAGAACCAGCACATGATGAACAAGAACCAGAGAGTTCTGAAGCTCTAACAACTCGTCAATCAGATCGTGTGAGAAGATGTCCCAATTGGCACTCAGATTATGTTATAGAAGGTAATATTGCATACTGCCTTTTAACAGAGTACGGTGAGCCATCAACATACCAGAAGGCAATAAACAGTTCAGATGATTCACTATGGATGATGGCAATAAAAGAAGAAATCGAAGCCCTTCATAAAAATAATATATGGGACCTTGTGCCACTACCACAAGGAAGGAAGCCAATTGGTAACAAATGGGTCTTCAAAATCAAGCGAAATGGTGGCGATCAAGTTGAGAGGTATCGTGCAAGACTGGTGGTCAAAGGATATGCTCAAAAGGAAGGTATTGATTTCAATGAAATATTTTCTCCTGTGGTTCGACTAACAACAGTTCGAGTAATTTTGGCAATCTGTGCTACATTGAACTTACATCTAGAGCAGCTAGATATTAAAATAACCTTTCTTCATGGAAATCTTGAAGAAGAAATTTATATGCTCCAGCCTGAAGGTTTTGAAGAAAAAGAAAAGAAAAACTTGGTTTGTAGGTTGAACAAATCTCTATACGGTCTAAAGCAGGCACCGAGGTGTTGGTATAAGAGATTTGATTCCTTCATCATGTGCCTTGGATACAACAGACTTAATGCAGACCCTTGTGCTTATTTCAAGAGGTCTGGTGATAACGATTTTGTTATATGCTTGTATGGGATGACATGTTGGTTGCAGGACCCAACAAATATCATATTGAAGAATTGAAGGCACAACTGGCTAGGGAATTTGAAATGAAGGACTTGGGATCAGCAAACAAGATTCTAGGGATGCAAATTCACCGAGACAGAAGTAATAAGAAGATTTGGCTTTCACAAAAGAATTACTTGAAGAAGATCTTGTCAAGATTCAACATGCAAGATTGTAAGCCAATTTCTACCCCTCTTCCTATTAACTTCAAATTATCCTCCAGTATGAGTCCTAGCAGTGAAGAAGAGAGGATGTAGATGTCTCAAGTACCGTATGCATCAGCAGTGGGAAATTTAATGTTCGCTATGATATGCACAAGACCAGACATTGCACAAGCAGTGGGAGTGGTTAGTCGGTACATGGCGAATCCAGGAAAAGAACATTGGAATATTGTGAAGAGGATCCTAAGATATATCAAAGGGATCTCAAATGTTGCATTATGTTACGGAGGATCAAACTTATTAATCAATGGGTATGTAGATTCTGACTATGCAGGGGATTTGAATAAAAGCAAATCTACTACAGGATATGTGTTCAAAGTTGTTGGTGGAGCTGTAAGATGGGTTTCAAAATTGCAGTCAGTTATGGCTACGTCCACAACAGAGGCAGAATATGTAGCAGCTACACAAGCCAGTAAAGAAGCAATTTGGTTGAAGATGCTATTGGAGGAGCTTGGGCATAATCAAGAGTATGTCTCTCTGTTTTGTGACAGTCAAAGCGCCTTGCATCTAGCAAGGAATCCAGCATTTCATTCAAGGAAAATGCACATACGAGTTCAGTATCATTTCATTCGTGAAAAGGTGGAAGAAGGGACGGTAGATATGCAGAAGATCCATACCAAAGACAACATAGCAGATTTCATGACGAAGGCGATCAATACTGATAAATTTACTTGGTGTCGATCCTCTTGTGGCCTGTTAGAGACGTAAGCAATATGATGATACATGGTAGAAAGAATGGTGTGAAGATATGATTGTTCCAATCAAATCTTCAAGTGGGAGATTGTTGAAAATCAATGCACTGAAAGTGCATGGTTTGAAAAAAAAAATTTGTCAACAATTGTAGGCACCGAAAATTAGGTGTAGAAATTGTTGATTTTTTATATGGGCAAAATACAAACTCTAGTCACTAAAATTTAGGGTATTTACAAATTAGTCCTTAAGCTTTAACTATAAATACCCTAGCTCAT